CTCTACCACTTGAGCCACACCTCCATTTCCAGCTTTTTGGTAGTTCATTGGAGATAAGAGTCTCATGGACTTTCCTGCTTCGAACCTCCATCCTCAGATCTCAGCCTCTTGAGTAGCTGGGATGACAGGCGGGAGCCACTGGCACCATTTATTAAAACATAGTTTGACAGCTAGAGACTTTGTGTATAAAGGATATTTCCCTTTCCTATGTTCTGTGCATATCTGTATTGTAATCCCAGAACTCTCTTACTCAACTTCCACAGACCAGTCCAGTCCAGTCCAGACCAGAACAGGCCCAGACCAGACCAGCCTAGAGAGTAGGCCCAAACCAGACCAGACCAGACCAGTCCAGACCAGACCAGACCAGGCCCAGACCAGACCAGACCAGTCCAGACCAGACCAGACCAGGCCCAAGTCAGACCAAACCAGTCCAAACCAGCCCAGACCAGGCCCAGACCAGATCAGTCCAGATCAGTCCAGCCCAGCCCAGACCAGACCAGTCCAGCTCAGACCAAACCAATCCAGCCCAGACCAGACCAGTCCAGCCCAAACCAGACTAGTCCAGTTCAGACCAAACCAATCCAGCCCAGCCCAGATCAGCCCAGGCTTTCCCCCACACAAAGCCCCTGGGCGGACCCCATGGTACAATGCACACTACCAGGTGTTGCAGTCCTGGGGGACGGAGGACCCCGGTGGGTGCCGCTTCCCGGCATGCACACAGGAGCACTGGGCAGGCTGCACGCAGCGGCCTTCGTCCAGGAGCTGCCCCTCTGGAGACGAGAGCACAGACAGGTGTCAGCATCCGCCCCCTGCACACTCCCCACGGGCCGCCCCCGCCTCAGAACCCCGAAGAACTCGTCCAACGCACAGGTATCCTTCACGCGAACGAGAGGGGAGGATGTTAGTGAACCGAGCGTCAGCTTGGAAAGCAGCAACTTAGAGCATCCGCCTGGCAGCTCGGTAAGCCCACAGGAAGACACTGAGTCAAGAGTTGTGTTCAGCCCGGTGTGGTAGCTCACACCTGTCATCCCAGCTACTCGGAAGGTGGAGATCAGGAGGATCACCATCCAAGGCCAGCAAAGTTGGACAGATCCTCATTTCAACAAACAGGCTGGGGGTGGTGGTACCTGCCTATGGTCCCCGCTATGCAGGAGGTCATAAACAGGAGGACCGTGGTCTGAGCTTGGCTCCTCACAAGAGTGCAAGACTCTAACTAAAAAATAATAATAATAACCAAAGAGCTGGAGGGGTGGTTCAAGTGGCAAAGTACCCCAGTGCCAGTGGCTCATGCCTAGCATCCCAGCTACTCAACGGGCTGAGATCTGAGGATCATGGTTCAAAGTCAGACCAGGCAGGAAAGTCCATGAGACTCTGATTTCCAATGAATTACAAAAAGAAAGTCAGAAGTGGAGCTGTGGCTCAAGTGATAGAGCGCTAGCCTTGAGCAAAAAGAAGCTCAGCACCTGGGCCCTGAGTTCAAGCCCCAGAACTGGCAAAAGAAAGAAAGAATGTTGCTTGGTAAGAAATGTACTCATTATCCTGCCCATGCAATTGTAACCCCTCTGTACAGTATGTTCACAAATAAAACAAAATTAAATTAAACAAAAAAAAGAAAGAAGGTGAGAGAGAGAGACAGAGGGGGGGGGAAGAAGGAAAAAAGGAAGAAAGGGAAGGAGGGAGGGAGGAAGAGAGGAAGGAAGGAAGGAAAGAAGGACGGAAGGAAGGAAAAGAAAGAAGGAAGATAAAGAAAAGAAGGAAGGAAGGAAAGGAAAAGAAGGAAGGAAGGAAAAGAAAAGGAGGAAGGAAGGAAACAAGGAAGGAAGGAAGCAACAAGCAAGAAATCCTCGCTTGATCCAGATTCTTCTACACAAAGACTTTAAGGGGGGGGGGACCTAAATAAAGGGCCTCTGAAGCTGGGCTCCGGTGCGCACGCCTGTCATCCCAGCTACTCAGGAGGCTGAGATCTGAGGATTGAGATTCAAAGCCAGCCCGGGCAGGAAAGGCCATGAGACTCTGATCTCCCATGAACCATCAGAAAACCGGAAGTGGCTCTATGGCTCAAGCGGTAGAGCGCCAGCCTCGAGCAGAAGAGCTGAGGGACAGCGCCCAGGCCCTGAGTTCAAGCCCCACGACCCACACACACACACACAGTGGCCTTCGTCTCCTTCGCCCCTGCCCCGGGACACTCTGGGGCCCAGGGTCCGGGGTCCGGGGTCTGGTGGATGCCCAGAAGCTTTACCTGGGCAGCTGCAGCCGTCCACGCATGTCTCGGGGCACGTCTCGCGCACGGGCAGGCCGTGGCAGGTGCTGGCACACGGCGACACACACTCCTTGTACTCCATACCCGCGGGGCACGCCGGGCCTGGAAGGGAAATCAGGGCCGTGCCCCCCCATCAGGCCCCGCATCTCTCCAGGCCGCGGGGGGTCACCACAGCCTATTAGCTGCCCCCCCGACTGTCTGCTCTGTTCTCGGGGTCACCTCTGTCCACTGGTCCACGTGGCCCCGGGGGACAGCCTCCCCCCCCCCAGGCTCTGCCCACCCTGGGGAGAACCTGACCAAGACTCTCGACACACTACGCCACCCCTTCATCTCCATCACCCGTTCTTATGCTTCTCGGGGTGACCCCAAATTCCTCTAGACTGGAGAGAGAGGCCTCGGGGTACCAGCCAGGAGTAGATGGGGTTCCACACCGCCCTCCTTCCCCCTGATCCCACCGCGGTGGTCTGTCCCCAGCCGGGCGTCGTGGCTCCCGCCTGGCATCCCAGCTACTCGGGATCACGGTTCAAAGCCAGCCTGGGCGGGAGCGTCCGTGAGACTCTGATCTCCGGGGACCTACCCCCTGGGGCCAGGTGGGCAGTGTGGGGCCCGAGGGTGGCCGCAGTGGGCGCTGTGATCCCGGCCAGGCCAGGGTGGCCGGTGGTGACTCACGGCAGACGCTGAGCTCCGTCCAGCCGTCCAGCACCAGGCCCTGGTGGGCACAGGCGCGGGCGTACTCCAGCAGGGCGGGGCACGCGCACGCCGGGCCCCGCGAGCACGCGCACAGCGTCTGCTCACACAGGGCCACGAAGGGCTCGGGGTCCAGCCACGGGCGGCAGCGTGCGAAGGCCGAGGAGCTCGTGAGCAGCTGGCACTGCTCCCACGGGGCCTGGGGGGCAGGAGGGGGCTCAGCTGGGCCCAGGGCCTGCAGCGGGGGGGGGGAGCAAGGGGGAGGGGGAGCAAGGGGAGGGCGGCGCACGCCTGTCATCCCAACCACTCGGGAGGCCGAGATCGGAGGATCGCAGGGCGAGGTCAGCCCTGCCGGGACAATCTGCAAAGACTCTTATCTCCAGTTAATCAGGGGAAAAGGTCAGAGATGGAGCCGTGGTTCAAGGGGTAGAGCACCAGCTCTGAGTGAAAAGACGAAGGGAAAACGACCTGGCCCCAGGTTCAAGCCTCACTCCACCCCCAAAAGAAAGCCATCGGTGGGCTGGGCGGGTGGCTCAGTGGTAGAGCGCTCACCTCGCACGCGTGAAGCCCTGGGTTCGATTCCTCAGCACCACGTATGCAGAAAAAAGCCAGCCTTGAGCACAAAGAGCTCAGGGACAGCGCCCAGGCCCTGAGTTCAAGCAGGAGGACTAGGAAACACACACACACACACACACACACACACACACACACACACACACGCACACGCCTGCAGGCCTGTGCCCACAAAGGCATCCATTCTTCTCTTCTGTCTGCTAATCCCTCCTGCAGGGATGCCTCTGGGCCTGCTGACGAGCCCCTCCAGCCTCTCCCGGCTCCAGGGCTAGACATCAACTCCTCTGTCTCCCCTCATCTCCTGTCTGCGGTGCCAGATCCAGCTCCCCCCATCGATGACGTCACACACGCACGCACACGCCTGTGCGTGCACCCAGGGGACGGTGCCCAGAGCCAATTGTAGCCTGGCTTAATCCCATTTGAGGCTCATCAGCCAAGGCCAGGCCCCGTTCCCTGGAGATAGGAGACTGGCCTGGAAGAAAAGAAGCAAAATGAAGTTCATCTCCCCAGAGCTGGGCAGACAGGGAAGAGAGAAGAGGAGGGTGGGGGGAGGAAGAGAAGGAAGAGGAAGAGGAAAAGAAGGGGGAGGAGGAGGGGGAGGGGAGGAAGGAAAAGGAGAAGGAGGAGGAGGAGGAGAAGAAGAAGAAGGAGAAGGAGGAGAAGGAGAAGGAAAAGAGGAGGAGGAGGAGGAGCAGCAGCAGCAGCAGGAGAGGAGGAGGAGGAGGAGGAGGAAGAGGAGGAGGAGGAGGAGAAGGAGAAGAAGAAGAAGAAGAAGAAGAAGAAGAGGAGGAGGAGAGCAGGAGAGGAGGAGGAGGAGGAGGAGGAAGAGGAGGAGGAGGAGGAGAAGGAGAAGAAGAAGAACAAGAAGAAGAAGAAGAGGAGGAGGAGGGGGAGAAGAAGAACAAGAAGAAGAAAACAAGAAGAAGAGAAGAAGAAGAAGAAGAAGAAGAAGAAGACGACGAAGGCAGCCAGAGTCCCCAATGTCAGCGATAGTACTTGTTGCCAAATAGCTGAGTAAGGAGAAAAGTCTGGGGGGGGGAGGGGGCAGAGGGACATTCCAAGGGTAGACACTGAATAAACAAAGAGAGAGTCTAATATATAAAGATGGAGATTGTTCGTCCGGGCCTGGTCTTTGCAGCTCCGGGGTAGGCGCCCGAGCTGGGTTTTAAAAAGTGGGTTCAAGAATTCCTTGCTGGACAATAGGGGCTAGTTTCTCGCTGGTCAGAATGCAGAGTGAGTAGGTTGTTGGGTCTATTTATAAATTGCTCACCCACAATCCAAGATTCTGAATCACAATGATTCCTTTTTTTTTTTTGGTCGGTCGTGGGACTTGAACTCAGAGCCTGGGCGCTGTCCCTCAGCTCTTCAGCTCAAGGCTGGCGCTCTATCACTTGAGCCACAGCACCACTCCCAGTTTTCTGGTGGTTCACTGGAGATCAGACTTTCCTGCCTGGGCTGGCTTTGAACCACGATCCTCAGATCTCAGCCTCCTGAGTAGCTGGGATGACAGGCGGGAGCCACCAGCACCCGGCTCACAGTTAAAGATTTTTGACCATGAAACCCAAGAGATATTGTATATTGTTGGGTTTCTGGGTGGAGTGTGTTTTTTGCAGTGGTGTTGCTCGTTTGATTCTGGTTTGGTTTTGTTGGTTGTTTGAGCAGAAGGTATTAAGATTCTACCCGATCTGTAAGTGTTGATTCAAGACCCGATCACCCAACAATACGAATCAAACCGAGAAGCAATTCTCCAAAGCGCTGAATCGGATGAGGTTCCCTGGATGGAAATGATCTCCCTCTCTGCCTGAAAGTTCTTCTTCTAGCTCACACTGAGCAGAAATGATCACAAGTGTTGACTACACCTTTGTGAACAAACAGCCCCAAATGAGGGCCCCGAGGGGTGAATTGCTTTGTCTCCTACAAGTACCTCTCCAAGCCATCCAGGGAAACACTTTCCAGTTATTCCAACACAACACCGGTGCTGCAAATATTAGCTTTGCAGACAGGTGATTTCCTGAGAGAAAAAGCAGGTGTCAGGGTGGCTGGCTCCAAGGAGAGGTAGAACAATCCACGGGGGAGGGGAAGGCTGGTGAACACACAAGGACGTCTACAGCAAGCGACAGAAAGAATGGGTTGTGTTTGGCCACTCAACACCGAAATTCAGAGATGAGAAGGGAAAAACAGGAAATGGGGGCTCTTGTGGGGAGGAATAACTTCCAAATCAAACCCAAGAAATCCAGGGTGAACCGATTGTGTGGCCCCAGTATTCAAGATGATGGGGACTGGCCCTGAGCTTTCCAATGGATGCAAAAGGAAAGAGGGAGGGGGTGTCTAGCAGGGAATTGGGGGGCTGGTGTAGGACTGGGGTCCCCAAGATGCTTGGAAAGATTCCCAACAAGGGTGTTCCAAGGATTTGACTCTTCCAAGTAAAGGCCAGCAGGGCCGCGGTGCTCACGCCTGTAAGCCCAGCTATCTTAGGAGGCTGAGATCTGAGGATCATGATTCAAGACCGGGCAGGGGAGACTTTTCCTTCCAATGAGCCACCAGCAAGCCAGGAAGCAGAGCTGTGGCTTAAGTGGTCAAGCAGCAGCCTTGAATGGGAAAAAGCTCAGGAGTCTGGTGCCCCCAGGTCCTGGGTTCAAATCCAAGTACTGACACACTTACACACACACACACACTACTTGAGGATTTTCCTTTTTTCTAAAACGTGCATGGTCTAAGGTGAGTTCTCTGAAAATTAACATCAGTTATGTATTTCCTGAGGCTTGGGGCTCTCGACTCCCGCAGAAGTTCGAAGGCCCAAGGCTGGAAAAGCTGACAGTGAACTGGGAAGTCGACACCCGTGAGTTCAGTCCGAGCATACCCCAGCCCATTGGGGCTTGTTTGCAAAGCCAGGCATCAACTCCATCCCCGAGGAAAGTGAGGTGACCTGCCACTCAGCCCCGGAGACGCGGGGGAATCCTTCACCGAGGACAACTTGGAGTCCAGGCAGGCTCCCAAAGTCCCCAAATCACCGAGGCCAGCACCAGCGAAGGCAGACTGCCAACAACTCACCCAGGCCGCCTTAACCACCTCCCGGAGAGGCCGCCAAGTGGCTCCCGGCCAATGAAGGAGCCTCAGCCCTGGACAGCCACAATCTGATTGGCTAAGCCCTGGACCACCACAATGTGATTGGCTAAGCCCTGGACCGCCACAATGTAGATTAGTGGAGACCTGGACGGACGGCCACAATCTGATTGGCAGGGGCCTGGACAGCTACAATGTGATTGGTGGACACAATGTGATTGGCAGGGACCTGGACAGCCATAATGTGATTGGCGTGGACATGGACAGCCACACTCTGATTGGCTGAGACCTAGACTGTCACAGTCTGATTGGCAAGGACCTGGACAGCCACAGTCTGATTGGCTGAGACCTGGACAGCCACAATCTAATTGGCTGAGACCTGGACAGCCACAATCTGCTTGGCGGGGACCTGGACAGCCACAGTATGATTGGCTGAGACCTAGACAGCCACAATCTGCTTGGCGGGGACCTGGACAGCCACGGTCTGATTGGCTGAGACCTAGACTGTCACCGTCTGATTGGCAAGGACCTGGACAGCCACAGTCTGATTGGCTGAGACCTGGACAGCCACGGTCTGATTGGCGGAGACCTGGACGGCCACAGTCTGATTGGCGGTACCTAGATGGCCACAGTCTGATTGGTGGAGACCCAGACAGCCACAGTCTGATTGGCTGAGCACAGAGCAGGCCTCTCTTCTTCTACCTGACCGCAGGGACGCTCTCTGGGAGACGGAGCAGGTGCACTTGGAGCCTCATCTGAACTCTAAGAACTGGACACTCGATTCCTTAAGCTACTGCCTGGACAGTGCTCGGTAAGGGCATCAATGCACCCAGGAGACAGAGGAGGAAAGTGGGGGGAGGCATTTCCAGAAGCCAGCAAAACCTCTCTGCTTCTCTCTCCCTCCTTCCCTTACTCTCCCTCCTCTGCCCTGTCCACCCCTCCCCTCACACACGGTGAGGCCCCTCCTTCCTGCTCTCAACAAAGAGCACATTTGTCAAACACTCATGCTGCGGGCCGGGCTGCGCTGGCCAAAAAATAAATAAGAGAGATTACATAGATGGGCCTTCAAGGACACCATTGCTTCCCCTACACACACACACACACACACACACACACACACCCTGCCTTGGAGGGAGGAGGCAAATTTCCACCCACAACAGAACTGCATGTTTGGAAATAGAAGAAGGAAGGAAGGAAGGAAGGAAAGAAGGAAGGAAGGAAGGAAGGAAGGAAGGAAGGAAGGAAGGAAGGAAGGAAGGAAGGAAGGATTGTTTTTAAATCCTTCTTGCTGTGCACAATAGTTCAAGGGAGAAAGAGACTGGGGCCTCCATCACGGGGCCTCCGTCACTGGGCCTCCATCACCGGGCCTCCGTCACCGGGCCTCTGTCACCGGGCCTCCATCACCAAGCCTCCTGACTGGGAGGCAGCTGTCAGACCTCTCCCTCTCCCACCAACCCTAGGCCGTGCTTTGCTTCGCAGATGACATGCATTATCACCAGGAAGAGGAGGCGACCAAGAAGACATCTTGGAACTTATACCCAAAGTGTACGTGCACAAAGGCCGACACATGGCACACCTTACTCCACTCTCCAAGCTGGGGCTCCAGTGGGGGGGGAGGGGACTGGGGGAGACACACAGCGCAACTGGAAAGTGACCAGGGCACACACATCCTCCTCCTCCTCATCCTTACCAACATCATCCTCATCATCATCACCGCCGCCACCAGCATCTCCATTACCATCTTAGTTGTTCAAACGCTGCAGCTTCGTGGGTTTAAGAACAACGTACACACACGCACGCACGCACACACACACACACACACGTCTTTCTAATTTCCGCCAAGGCCCCTGGCAGTCACTACTCCTGGCTCACAGAACGCATGCGCCTTGCCCACACTTCCAAAGCCATTGTAAATGGCCTGAGCCAGCCCTGAGCACCAGGCCAAAGCCAGGGCGGAGAGGAACGGGAGGGACAAACCTTCCAAACTGAAAAAAAAAAAAAAAACAAGAAAAGAAAGGAAGAAAAAAAAAAGACAAGAGGCAGCTTCCCCTTCCTCACAAACCACCTCCTCTGGGTGCTGGAGCTCAGTCTCTCTCGCTAGGCGTGCTGGGCCATGAACCAGGTAACCCTTGGTCGACCAGATGGAGAAACAAGCAGCGTGGAATCAGGGTTAGAATGTCTACAGGGGGGAAGGCTTTGGGGACGGGTTTGTTTATGAGCTGGGAATTCTCTGCACAAACAAGATAAGCACCTGGGTTTGGCCCCAGCCCGAGACCTTTTCCTGAGCCCTGAGCCCAGCCCAAACACTGCGTGCTCCGAGGTTCAGAAGTTCAAGGTGTTCCGTGAGCATAAAGACATACCAGACGAGTCACCAGCTAATCAAGAAGCCTTCCTGTGTTGAAGTGCTGTGTGTGTGTGTGTGTGTGTGTGTGTGTGTGTGTGTAAGAGGTTGTATTTCCAAAAGAGGAGAAAGCCAGGCACCGGTGGCTCCCGCCTGTCATCCCAGCGACTCAGGAGGCTGAGATCTGAGGATCGTAGCTCAAGGCCAGCCTGGGAAGGAAAGTCCGTGAGACTCTGATCTCCGGTGAACCAGCAAAAAGCTAGAAGTGGCGCTGTGTAGCTCAAGGGGTAGAGCGCTAGCCTTGAGCCCAAAAGCTCAGGGATGGTGCCCGGGCCCTGAGTTCAAATCCCACCAAAAAGAAAAAAGAAAGAAAGGAAAAGATCAGCCAGAGTAGCCCACAAGTGGACCCATTCCTTGTCCCCCTAGAAAGAGAGCATGAACCCAGAGAGAGAGAGAGCGCCCATGACCGGCTTCCTCTTAGCACAAGCCACACACAATCAAGATGGCGCCCAGCCCCGCTGCACCCACCTTTGGCATCTCCACAGAAGAGCTGTTGCAAAGCATGCTGGGAGGGGATGCGCGCGGACACCGCTGCTCTTCGCCGCTCAGGGCCCAGGAGTTGGCAAAGTCATAGGGGTCGGAGGTCAAGATGCCTGACCAGAGAAGTTTCCAGAAGAAATGACGCATTAGTCCAACTAGAACTCCAGCATCAACTAGTAAATACCCAAACAGGGCAAGGCTCTGAGTTCAAACCCCAGAACCACACACACACACACACACACACACACACACACACACACACACACACACACAGATTTCACCCATTTGCTTGGCAGAAGATGCAGGAGAATCTTCTCAAACCATCTAGAATCTACCAGCCATCTACCACGCAGAATTCCCTGTGACTATGGGAAATTCCATGTTGAACCTCAAGTCAAGTGTGAGGAGATCCAAAAAATGTATGATGATGCTGGAAGAGGTAAACTGAGGAAGCAAGCCCCACTGGGGAGGAGGGCTGGTGATACTGGTGTTGGTTTAAGAGGAGGTTTGGGGGGGGGCTGGGCTGGGTTTTTGTGTTTCTGAGATCAGGACTCGAACTCAGTATCGGACCCTTCAGCTCAAGGTAGGCGCTCTACCAGCTGAGCCACGCCTCCCGCCCCCATGAGGAGGTTTTCAGGATTATGGAAGGCCACAGCAGAATCCTACCCTCTTGGGTCCTGAAGTCGTCTTCAGCGAAGACGTTGAAGTCGCCGCACAGCCCGCACGTCTTGTTGAACAGTCGGTCTGAAAACTGCACCTGGAAATTGCCACTCGTGTCCATCCGGGCCACGAAGCCGTAGGTCTCGCTGGATAGCCTGTAGTACCCCGCCTGCGTTTCCAGATACAGCCCGTGGGAGGCGTACGGCACAGAGACACTGTGGGCGAGAGGACCAAGGACACACTGAGAATCGCGCTTGGCCGCCGGGCGCCCTGCAGCGCACGCCTGCAGTCCCGGCTAACAGACTCCTGTCTCCAGGAAACCACCGAAAAGAAGAGCCGGGCGTTGGGAGCTGTGCGTGGCTCAAGTGGTAGAGAGCCAACCTTAAGAGGAAAAAGCTCAGGTCAAGTCCTAGGTCTGGCGCACCACCACCCCCCAGCTTTGGACGTACTTTTGCTCTCCTTCCTTCATGGTTCCATTGGCAAACAAATGAAGGTCAAAATACTCCCCGAGATACACAGACAGACCCACTCGCTGGCCATTTTCAAAGTCTCCTGAAAGAGAAAAAAAAAGTCAGTACGTCCCCCCCAAAAAGTTAATGCTTTATTCATAGGACCGTAATCCTAGCAACTCGGGAGGCTGAGATCTAGAGGATCATAGTTCGAAGCCAGCCTGGGCAGGAAAGCCCATGAGACTGATCTCCAGTGAATCCGCAGAAAACTAGAAGTGGTGCTGTGGCTCAAGTGGTAGAGCGCCAGCCTTGAGCTGAAGAGCTGAGGGACAGCGCCCAGGCCCAGAGTTCAAACCCCAGGAGCAACCAAAACAATAAATAAATAAATGGAGGAACAGGATGCTCTTGGGAGAACAATGGAGCCCAAGGTATACCAAATCTGGGTTCCTCTCCCTGACCCCAGGACCTTGACACGTGCGCGCACACACACACACACACACACACACACACGTGTGTGTGCATTTAGTGTCAACCTTCATCTACACGTTATCTTCTCTTGTAGCACCGAGCGGTAGGAATGCGTCCCCAACCCCAATCACCCCCAAAAAGTGTTTGGTCTCTAGGCCAGTTCCACCCAGAAAACCTGAGTTCCCAGGAAAGCATGGCTGAACCGAGAGCAAAGCATCCCAGGAGAGCAATGGCGGTGCTCGGCTCGGCTCCCCCTGGGCTCCGCCCCGAAGCCAGGAAATCCATGCCAACCTTTGGGGGGTGTCAAAGGAGGGTGGGGGGTACCCCTCGGGGAACCCAAGCGAGGTGAATGCTCCCTGAGTCTGTCTGTCTCTCTCCTCTGTCTCTGTCTCTGTCTCTTTGTCTCTGTCTCTGTCTCTTTGTCTCTGTCTGTCTCTGTCTCTGTCTCTCTGTCTCTATATCCCTGTCTCTCGGTCTCTGTCTCTATTTGTCTCTCTGTCTCTGTCTCTGTCTCTCTGTCTCTTTGTCTGTCTCTGTCTCTTTTGGTCTACCTTGGTTCTCTGTCTCTCTGTTTCTTCTTCTGGTTCTCTGTCTCTGTCTCTCTGTCTCTTACTCTTGCTTCTCTGTGTATCTCTGTCTCTGTCTCTCTGTCTCTGTCTCTATCTTTCTATCTCTGGCTCTCTGACTATCTGTCTCTTTCTCTCTCTGTCTCTTTGTCTCTCTGTCTCTGTCTATCTCTTTCAGTCTGTCTGTCTCCCTTTCCCTTTCCCTTTTTCCCTCTCTCCCTCTCCTCCTCTCCCTCCCTCCCTCTCCCTCTCCCTCTCTCCTCTCCTTCTCTCTCCCTCTCTCCTCTCTCCCTCTCTCTCTCTCCCTCCCTCCCTCTCCCTCTCCCTCTCTCCTTCTCTCTCCCCCCCCTCACACTTTTTGTGTAAGTCAGTCTAGATCATAGTCTAGTCCTGAGGCCAGGACGGCAGGCAGCCCCACCATGCCCGGCTTTCTTCTGTTTTCTTAGCATGGGCTCGTGACCTCTCATCCAGGTTGGCCTAGAACCCCAATGCCCCTATCTCTCGGGAAGCCAGAATTGCCTGGGGGGGCAGTGGGGAGGGGGAGTCTCTCCATGTCCCAAAGCTCCTTCTAGATCACATCCTTCCCTGTGCTCTGATTCAGGAGCTGGTGCGTTGCCTCTCCCCAAAGCAACCATTCAACCCCAAGAGTGGCATCCAGAGAAGCTTCTAGAAGCCAGAGGCCACCGGGGGACCATGCTCCTCTGGGTCTCCAGCAGCCATCTCAGAACTCAGGCATGATGGGAGACACGTAGGCTGCCCTTCACACCGTGGGGG